GTGTGTGTGTGTGTGTGTGTGACCAAAGAGACGATATGATGGTTTCAGCTGCTGTGATACAAGAACCTGCGGTAATGGTGTCTCCTGGCAGTTGGCTTTACATCTCAAGGAGGAGACTGTGCATGTAAAATTGTCGAGGAGTTGTCAAGTTGCATCAGACAGATAGCAAACAGACAGGAAATTTAGTGAATAGATTTGATTGGTAGCCTGCAAACAAACTGTGCAGACAGTCTTTTTTAATTCAGTGTCTTGCCTCAAACCCTGGATCGATCTCACACTGAGACAGAAGAATAAGAGTAAGAACAAAAACAGGAGTAGGAAGAAGAACTCACAAACCCTCAACTGAACACGGGAGGCAAAATCGGAGACCCTATGGACTGACACTGTAGTTGGCTGGGCCATCCTGTACGCAGCTCCCCAAAATCGTTGATTGTTTCTCCCCACTCTCCCCCTTCCTCAATCGTTGTCTCATGGTAGTACTTTGCAGCTCTCCGATCTACGGTCTTTGGCAATTGTGCATCATTCTCAAGACTCCTGTTTTATAGAACAGTTCTGCGGAAGCCACTATACCAAGGGAGAGAGAGAGAGAGAGAGAGAGAGAGAGAGAGAGAGAGAGAGAGAGAGAGAGAGAGAGAGAAGCTTGGCTTGCAACAGAAAGAGAAAGCACAGCAATAGAGAGACAGAGAGATAGAAACAGAGACCTACACACAGAAAACACGACTCAAGAGCTCTGCATACATGTGATGTCCATTGTCTGTATGACAATACTTCTCTTATATGCATGTGATGTTCATGTTTTCTATTACCAAAGAATCTGGAAGACCCCGGATTGGTGCAGCCAATTCTGTGCTGCATCAGGCAACTACCACTACTTGGGGGTCGTTAGGGGTATCCTTCATCTCTATGGAGTTTGGAACTGTTGCTCTGCAACCAAAACAAGTTCTCTTTCTTTTTTCTCTAAAGTGAAAGTGAAACTGGACACTGGAGGGCCACTCAGTGAAGGACCAAACAGTGGGAGGGATGCCAAATGCACCAGTGCACTGACACTTGTTGCGGTACCTAGAGGCTTGTTTGTCACAACGGGAGAGGATGGGATCACCATTGCTTAAGTGATGGTCATACACCGCTCGCCAATTCCCTTGGCAGACAGGCGATTCCATCCACTTCCTGTCTCAAAGTGGCGGAATTGTCATTTACACATTGTCCCAGAGTTTCTAATGCCACAGTGTGAAAAGATGCCAGTACATGGGCACCTGGGACGCGGGCCTGACACCTCAAATTCTGGAGGCGCAAAACGAAAATGTGACCGGCCATCGAATTTATCAACGGTGGGCCCAGCGTTTGACGTTTTGGCCTCGTTTTCTTGTGGAGACAAGTTTCGGACTGCAAGGCTGGGACCGTGTACTTGCAGTCCCTCAGCGCAATTCTTTTTTTTTGGGGGGGGGAAGGGAACTCAGCGCAATTCAACCCATGAACAAAATGGACACTGAGCACAATTCGACGTCCGGCTAAGGGTAGACAACAAAAGGAAAAAAGAAGGGGCACTCGGTGCGATTCCATGCACGGCTAGACAACCACCAACAAAAAGCGACTTAGGGTGATTCCACACACAGGTACATGACAGAACAAAAAAGGAAAAGACACTCGGCGGGCATAGAAATTGAACCCCCCCCCCCCCTCCCTCTCTCCACCCCCCAAAGGCATGTTCTTTAACAGATCAGTGTCTGTTGTGGGCCCTTCCCGTGAGACTTGGGTTACACTTTATTAGGTATATATAGCTCAAAGGGTCGCTGCTGAGTCAACGAGAAAATCCAGATGACCCCTTCCAATTCAAAAGTGGACAGTCATGTTGGGTTTGTATCTCTGTATCTACGTTGCCTTGGTCAGGAGGTGCCTTTTTTTTCTTTTCTTTTTTTTCAGGAGGTGCAACTTTTTTTCTTTTTTCTTTTTTTCAGGAGGTCCAACTTTACTGCTTGGTCTATCTGCAATTTAACCCCTTAAGGACCAACAGGCTTAGCTCAGTTGGTAAACCCATGAACTGTTGAAATACAGACCCCAGTCCAAATCCCAGTGCAACAAGATGACCAGAATAAAGTCATTCTGAATTACCTGGGTCCTGTCGGTTCAAGGACGATATCTCAAGGCCGTTGCCCAACTTGCCCTTAAAAAAAAAAAAAAAAAGCTGCCTAAGGCGCATGTGACTACTTCAAGGTTTCAACCTTTTCTGATGCTTCCAGTGTGGAAATTTCTGCATGTTCGTTTTACTGATGATCTTGTTTCATTTTCGTGTTTGGTTTGTGGCTTAAGATCCATGGGACGGTCAACATTATGGCAGGCAAACTTACACTGGATCAGTCAAGCATATCAATTGATGGTGGCGAGCTCTTTGGAATAAGTACGTCGGTACTAAAATCCGATACGGTCATTCTAAGGGTATGCAGAGATCATATATTTGTCTTTTGTGTAACACACTGAAGTTTCTCGAACTCCTTGCTGTTTTGGACCTTCGGCTGATTTCTAGTGGCTTACTTTTTTTTCGTTTTCTAGTTTTTTTCACAAATGTTATGATCCTGGCCAATTTCGAAGTACACATTCATGAGACAGGAGAATGCCATCCAAGTGCAAAAGAAATGAATGAACTTGAGAGGAGAGAGAGGGAAAGAAGAAGAAGAAGTAGAAAGAAAGAAGAAGAAGATGATGTACACCAGCAAAGGCCAATGATAATTCCCTTCTTCTTCACCAACCGCTCTCCTCCTCCTTATCTCCTCCCCTCTTATTCAACCAAGAAATAATAGTAATATATATTAATAATATTGAATGGCTGATTAGCGACTGGAGGCAGATCCTACCACTTTCTCTCGTTTTGAATAGATCTTTTTGACAGGCCCAAGAGGGGAACCTGAGAGGAGCAAGTTGTTAGGGCAAGCTGACAGTCAATCCTCCATCAAGGGAGCAATCAATGCTGGTCAAGTTAGTACCTCTGGTGCTCCTCCTTCCTAGTCCTGGTCTTCTTCCTCCTCCTGTTCTTGCTCCTTCCCCAGCAGCGCTGCTCTGATGCCAGCGCTCCAACCAGTGTGTTGCCAAACTTGCACACCGACAATGAGGAGGAGCACTTCGCTCCTTCCGGAGATATAGCGGCCTGCTTGCCTCTTGGCGAGTGACTTCCTAGGCCGTGTGGCCTCTGAGCAACCGGCACCTCCTCCCATTCGGAGGGAAACATCATTGCAGACTCTGATATTGCCCGTACAGGCCCTAGACTCAGACCGGTTGGACTGGTACCCGCCTAGACCTAGCCTACAACTACCGGGCCTCTAAAAATGCCAACTTTGTCTTCTTCTGCTCGGCCTCGAGTTCTACCTCTACCTGATGTGGTACCGGCCTACCTGCTACTTGAGTGTTTTTCCGCTACTCCAAGTGTCGTGGCCTTCCCTGCTGCATCAATGTCACGGCCACAGGTAAGTACCAGAAAAACAAGAAAATTGTAAAAGCAAAAAAAAAAAAAAAGAATAAATACAGCAAGCTGGCGGGTGGTAACCTGCAGACCAGGGATCGAGCCTTGGCAGAGTCCGTAACACTAGTAGTCTTGTAACGGGGTAGTTCTCTTTTGCCTCCCTGGTTTCTCTTCTAGCCAAGCTTATTCTGATCAATCGAATTCCAACTCGGAAATAGTAGTCCCTGGTTGGAAGATTCTCTTTTTTTGTCAGACCCTACGACCCTCACTTTTCTTTTTTTGTCAGACCCTGCGACACTCACTTTTCTTCTTTTGTCAGACCCTAGGACCCTCACTTTTCTATTTTAGTCAGACCCTGCGACTCTCACTTTTCTTTTTTTCTCAGACCCTACGACCCTCACGTTGCATAGAGTGAAGGCTTCCAATATAACTTCCTGTACTCAGATCACTTATCGTAAGGGATGACGCTGGACCCGGTTTCCAGCGGGTGCTGCTCCCCAGCAATAGACCGGAGCTACCCGTGACAGGTGCTGCTAGAGGAGGATGCTCATATCACCCCCTCTAGCACACCGGCGCGGGGTTTTTGGGTGGGGGAATAAAAGATCAGTTATCGTTGGGAAGTCTCCTTGGTTGCAGTGTAGGGGATGGGCTATAGATATTCCTCTCAGATTTGTGACAGGGCTCCTTTGTGAGAATTTATACGCCCTCAGAGGTATGCTATCCTGGATTAACACTCCCCAGTCTCCAAACTTCCATGGGGATTGTTCTTTCAGTAGATCTTTCCATGCTTCAGGAATACTTTGGATCATCTCCTGTAAGTTATTGGCTAGGTTATCGCAACCAGTTAGTTGAGTTTTCACTACTTGGCCACTCCTACTGGTGTTGCTTCTCCATCTTCTACCTAACCTACCTTTCCTGCTCCTGCTATCCCAACATGATACAGGTCATTTGGAGACCCAGCTGACCCAGTCAGGGAAATCAGTTTCCTGCTGGTGGAAGAAGAGCTGGATGATTTCTTGTGCACTTTCCTTGGAAACTTTTGCAGACCTCACAAATGCCATCAAGACCAAGGATCAGCTGTAGGCCTTAAACCCGCACTGGAGTAATTGTGGCTGCATGTATATACAACAGTGAGCTGAGAAAGCTGCAGAAGAAAAAACTATGGGCTCTCACCTGAGCCCTCATGATTGCGCTCAGACTATGCTAGCCACTTGGAAAACAAAAGTGTGGGGCTGGAAAACCATTGAGGCCCAAGTTTCGGCAACTCTAACAATTTGTTCAATCAGAAATAAGATATCAATGGGAAAAGATGAAAGTCAAAATTATTGAATATAAACAAAAAAAAGATATCGCACAGAGAATCTCGAAATTCAATACGGAATGGTTAGGGGATGCATCAGGAGAAAAACTGGGAAAGGTGGTTTGGCCAGGAGGGGAAGGGGAGCA